CACACAGCCCCTAAGGAGGCCGGGTCAGGATTTAATGCTTCCACAGCTGCCAGCTCTTTGGTGCCTGTGAAAATTGTCACGTGTGGTCCTTAGAGTAGCCTCTGAGGTAGGGGTGACTGTCCCCATTCTGTAGGTAAGGAGTCAGGAGCTCAGAGGTCACTTGCCCAAGGTCACACTGCTTGTGAGTGGCCGGGCCAGCCAGGACTAAAAACCCAGTCTGCCAGGCTGCAGAGCGGCACCGCCACCCAGCCCCACTCACAGGGGTGTCCTGGGGCCCCTCCAGGTGACCTGGAGTGCACTGGACATATGCCAGCCACGCCTGTGGCTCTGGGTCCTGAGGAACAGAGCCCTGGGGCCATGGGTCACCCACAGATGTTGCCTGGAGCTACCTGCTGAGGACACTGTCCCTTCCCTAAAGGCCCCCCAAAAAATCAGACACCCCCTTTTCTGTGAAATCCCATTACGCACTCCCCTGATCCTGCCACCCCTCCAGAGCAGGCCTAGGATCCGGGACCACCAGGCGTCCCCTGACGCCCAAGGAGCTCGCTGCTGCGGAGGGAGGTCTGGATGTGGACCAGGTGGCCTGGGGCGGGCTGGCAGCTCTCGGGGTTCTCGGCCTAGAAGTGCCCACGAGCAGCAGGTGCCCTGTGGAGCGATGTCCTCCTTCCCCCCCCGACCTTCCCCCAGCTCCATCCCGGGGCTGCCGCAGCCCAGTTTCCTGCTGTCGGGAATGGGCCTGGGGTTTGTCTGGGCACTCTGGAATCCTGGAGCAACAGGAGACTCTGCCTCACCACGCGCAGGCAGATGACTCTTTAGCTCTTGCACATTCCCCAGAGTTCTTCCTCTTCAGGGCAGCACGTGTGACACAGGGGCTCCGTGGGGGCCCCGACCAGCCCCGGGCCCTGACTGGAGGGTAACTGGGCCTCAGGAAGCCCCTGCTGTCAGGTGCAGCATCTTCCCAGGCCGTCTGGAAACCCCGTGAGGACGGTGCTTTTATTATGGATGAGTTCTTCCTCTTCCTCTGTAACTTTATCTAAAAAATATAAAAGAAACTGGCTCAGAAGGGTTTCTGATGTGACTTTGGTTCTCCCAGCCAGGGAGTGATGGCTCCAGGTGGGGTGAGAGGTTGCCTTCCAGCACCTTCCAGCAGCCATCCCTGCTTGCCTCCCTTCCTGAGCTGTCTGGGATCAGAGCAGGCTGTCCCCCAACCTCAGCAGCGCTGCCTCCCCACCCCACCCCGTGCTACACTCAGCCCTTCCCTGGAGGACCAGGGAGAGTGGAAGCTGGGCTGGGACCCAGGCCCCCAGGAAGGAGCACGGGTGACAGGGCCACTTTTGTCCAGGAAAAAAGCCAAACTGGTACCATCCCAGACTACATCCCAGCTACTTTTCTTATAGCTGTCTTTATATTATTTAAATTGGGGGGGGGGGACTGCAGATCTTAGTGGGATGTAACCGTGTTGTATCAATAAGTGGAAAATGCATTTAATACACCTAACCTACCAAACATCATAACTTCGCCTAGAATAACTTAAACAGAATTACCCAGCACAAAGCCTATTTTTAAATTAAGTGTTGAATAGCTCATGTAATTGATTGAACGCTGTACCAAAAGTGAAAAACAATGGTTGTAAGCATATCAGTGGTTCACCCTCGTGATCGGGTGACTGACCGGGAGCTGCGGCCGCCCAGCATCAGGAGGGCGTCAGACCACACATCGCTAGCCCGGGAAAGGAGCAAAATTCCAACTTGGAAGTACAGTTTCTGCTGAATACCTGTCACTTTCACTCCATTGCAAAGTCAAAACATCGTAGGCCGAGGGCTTCCCTGGTGGTGCAGTGGTTGAGAGTCCGCCTGCCGATGCAGGGGACACAGGTTCGTGCCCCGGTCCGGGAAGATCCCACATGCCGCGGAGCGGCTGGGCCCATGAGCCATGGCCGCTGAGCCTGTGCGTCCGGAGCCTGTGCTCCGCAACGGGAGAGACCACAGCAGTGAGAGGCTCGCGTACCACAAAAAATATAAATAAATAAAAATTGTGGGTCGAGCCATCGTAAGTTGGAGGACCGCCTGCACTAGAAATGGTTTTGAAGTTGTAGTTAAAATTTCCACTTGCCTTGGGCAACCAGTTGTGGCTTGAATGAAGAGATCTTGACGCAGGGAGAGCAGCCGTTTTTTAAGAGAAAAGGCTGGCCTGTCGAGAGCGTGTGTGCAGGCGTGTGTAGCGGAGGGAGGGTGTCAGGGTGGGTGAGGGCTGGGACTTGTGGCTCCAGGTCTCAGGTCCCTCTGGAGCCGGGCAGTTCCAGGCGGTCCCCTCCCTCTCCGAGTCTCGTCTTCCCTGAGTGTCGGATGGAGAAGATGAATCCTCCATCCTGCCCCGTACACTCCCCGGAGCTCTCCCAGGGCTGCCGTGAGAGCTGAATGCTGTGTGGGGGAGACAGACAGGATGCTTCGTCAAGTGTGAAGGGCCGGGCAGGTGTGGAGTCTGCTTAGTCAGAGGGTAAAAATATGCCCAGGAGGTGTTGGTCTAGTTGGGAGGGAGGGACCCCGGTGGGGTGTCTGACCCCTCCTGCTGCCCCTGCCGTGACTGAGACAGGCCACTTGAGAACACTCTCTCTTTCCACCCTGGGCAGGGCCTTGGGCCAGGTGTCAGGAGTTACGGGTATGTCGCTGTGGGACCTCAGGTGAGGGGGTTGGTCCCCACCTGTGTACCATGGGTTGGGTGTTGGGACAGAGTGCCTGGCAGAAACGTGGCCTCCGTATCTCAGTGTCCAGTGAGGCAGACATGAGTTGGCCAGAAGCCAAGCCAGATGCTTAATCACAGGTGCTGGGCTCCACTTGGCCCCCTGCCTGCCTTCTAAGGGGCAGGGTGGGTGGCAGCCTCTTGCGGACCCCTGCTGACGCGGTTCCAGGGGGAAAGCATGGGCGTTGGTGACTCACAGGCCAGTCCCAGCCCTGCCACTGACTCCCACGTGGCCCCAAGCAAGTCACGTCACCTCCCTACACAGAGGGGGAAGGAGACCCACCTCTCAGGGCTGTGAAGAGGGGAAGAAACACCCACTTGCAAAGTGACCAAGCCCTCTTGTGAGCCACAGAGCAGGGACTCCCAGCCAGTGCCGCCTTTGCCCTGCCATGTGTCTGGGAGGGTGAAAAGCTGCAGGTGGAGGAACAGAACATGCTCCTTGCTTCTCTACGAGCCCCAGCTCCCCATGGAGGACCTCTCTCCGGGTGACCACCCACTAGCCCGGACATTCCCTGCTGGAGGCAGGAAGCGGGGGCGGCATGTGGAAGTCGCAGCATTAGGCGGAGTGCCTGGGCTTCATAATTAGTAATGTGTTCCTGTGATGTGTCTCTCCTCATGGTCACCATGGGTTGCGTCAGTGATAAATGGAACCAAGCGAGCGGTGGCCAGAGGCCGGTGGGACCCTCTGCCTACGGCCAGTGGACTTCTGGCAGGTACTCTTTGAGCCTTGACTTCCCCGTTAGTAAAATGGGGATGGGAATCCCTGTCCTGAAGGGTCATGAAGCCCAAATGGGGTAATATATTAACTCTTAGCTCGGTCTCCAGAACTCGGTGGTGGTTCTGTAAATGTTGGTTTCCCTTTCTTTTCTACACGGACAGCTTCGGGCTTGCAGACAAGAGCTCACTTAGGACACAAGATTTGATAAGGTTGGGAGCTGTGTGGGATTGATTAGTGCCACGTAGGTGCAAAGGGCCGCGTGAACACTAGGAGGGAGTTTAATTACACAGCCCCTCGGCCTCCACAGTCAGAGGCTCCTGGCTGCCTGCTGCCGGCTTTATTGGTCCATCTGGTGCTCAGCCCGAGTCATGGCACAGGCAGGAGGCAAGCTCATTAGTCGCCGTCTATTCTTAGCGCTGGCATGTGTCTTGGTGGGGACAGACCCCCTGGACAGCTGCACACGTCTGGGCGGGCACAGCCAAGCCGCGCGCTGACCACCTTCCTTGGATGTCCCTGCTCCTGTTCTTGTCTGAGATGCCCAGAGGCTTTTCACAGCCCTTGTTACTGTTACTCTTCTTGTGGTCCTGGGGCTGGAGGACGCACCTTTAACGGGGACCCTGCCAGCCCTAGCTAGGAGCACGGTGAAGTACCTGGGGAATAGTTGACATCTCCGGCGGGAGCAGGTGGAGGCTGTCACCTCCAAGCTTCCTACCTCCTCAGGGGCAAAGCAGCCCCGAGAGATGGTTTGTAGAGATATGCCTCTCTCGGACTAGGTAAACTCTGAATAAAGCCAGAGCTCTTCTCCTGTAAGATGGTTTTAGCAAAAGGTTTGGGCAAATCTTTATGGTGCGCTGACATTGCCGGGCAGGGTGCTAGGCACCGAGGACCAGTCCAAAGCTCAGACTTGAAAGACCTAGAATTCTTGCTCCCCAGCTTGGCTGTGACAGGGCCGGGGCAGATCTGTGGTCTAGACTTATCCACTGAGGTCCTGCTGTGACACAGCGATCCCTCTGTAAGATTCCATCGCCATCCTCAACTTACAGAGGCCAGAACTGAGGTTCAGAGATGCTATTTGACATGCCCAGAACCGTGGGGGGCAGACCCCATGCTGGGCAGTCCCTGTATCATGCCGCATCAAACTCTGCTAGGTCAGAGTCATTGTCATTGGGGCTGTGCCTTTCTAATCACTAAGAAGCTTTCTCGGAGTCACTTGGCTTCCTGTGCAGACTTTGTGTTGGGGACCCTGCCAAGCAGCCCAGGTGCCCTGGATGATGCAGCTGGCCTGGCTGTGGCCCTTCTCCATGGAAGGCTGTCCTGGAGGTTCCCACCCTTCACTGGCCTTGCACGAGAGGTCCCCGAGGTGAATCATCTGCCAGGGTCTCACACCCGAGGTTTCAGTGTCTGGGCTTCCTGGAACCGCAGTCCCCGCCGTCCCCGCCGTCCCCGCCGTCCCCGGCCCTGCTGGCATCCTTACGGTCTGAGGAGCAGTGCTGAGCCTCGGGGAGCCAGGCTCACTCGTGCTGCCCCCCTCTGTCTTCCCCAGGGCAGCGAGGTGCCAGACCCCACCTTTGCTGATGGCGAGCTCCTCCCCAGGGAGTCCGGCTTCTTTCCTGTGGATGAGGACGAGGCCATGACGCTGGCCCCGCCCGAGGGCCCCCAGGAGTCGGACATGGACGGCCCCACGGAGAGCAGCCGGAGTCTGGAGGGGCCGGTCGGGATTGCCGCCGAGAAGGAGGCAGGGCTCGGGGGCCTGTTCCTTCCGGAGGACAAGTGAGTTAAAACTGCCTGGAGCTCCACTTGTCGGGAGAAGGTGATGGTCACGGCCAGAGGTTTGGAGCGGGAGGAGGGGGCTCCCGGTGCCAACCTTACCATATACGAAGTGGTCGATTTTTAATCATGTTCGACCTTCGAGAAAAAGGCAAGTTCATATGTTTCAACCTAGTATATTTCCTCAGTGCAGGGGTTCGCAAACCCAAGGGTCTCTGGGAATCACACTGTCGAGGAGGGGCCCTTTGGAGCTGTTCATCCCTGTTGCGTCCCGGGGGCGGTCCATCCGCTGCACTGGTGACCAGCCAGCCCAAGGACAGCTGGTCATATGGCCAATCATCTGCCACCTGATCATTCCCGTTTGTTATCTGGGGCCAGTCACCAGGAGGCAGCCAGCAGCAGGTGCCGAGAGATTTAGTAAAAGTTACAGGAGAAAGCGGCGAGGAATGGGACGAATTCAACCCGAGGTGCTAAGGAGCCCAAGGACAGATACATACATGAATCAATAAAATAAGGTGGAGATACCCAGAGACTTGATCTTCAGCCCCAATGATTAACGCTGTGATTCTTAGATGGAAACCAGGGTTCCTCAGGGGCACAGTTTGAAAATCACTGTTTCCCATTCTTTGAGTGCACAGGCTTGTCAGCAGGTTGGAGAGATCCCAGTTTACGAGTAAGGATACACAGAAACTGCTGCACAACGACTCAAGGGAAGATATGTTTTGGCAGGTGATGAGTTAGTTGTACTTCTTTGTTCTTAGGTTTCAGACAGGGTTCAGCCAGCCACTGACTCTGTCCCAGGCCACGCTGGGTCACCCGTGAGAGGCCTGGGGTCTCTGACCTGTGTTCTGTGGCCTTAGGCTTCTTTGGACTAGAAATCCGCTCTGTGGATTAGGCGAAGCATCCTGCCTACTGGCTCATTGTTGTTTTTTGTTTGTTTGTTTGTTTTGTGGTACTCGGGCCTCTCACTGTTGGGGCCTCTCCCTTGGCGGAGCACAGGCTCCGGATGCGCAGGCTCAGCGGCCATGGCTCACGGGCCCAGCCGCTCCGCGGCATGTGGGATCTTCCCGAACCAGGGCACGAACCCGTGTCCCCTGCATCGGCAGGCAGACTTCCCAACGACCAGGGAAGCCCATTTAAATATTTTTATTTCCTGCTTTACCTTCTTCTGTGTAGACCCTTTACATGCTTAGACTTATTATGTCTAAAATTTTATATGTAACTTTTAGTTTAATTTTTAAAACTTCAAAATAATTTTTTTTAAGTTTAGTTTTTAGTTTTAATTTTTAGAACTTTTTCAATCAAAAAAAACTTTCGCTTTTAATTTTTCCACATTACTGCCAGTATTTTTTACAAACCTATCCAGAGTGATTTGAGAGTCCATAATTTATGTGACCATTTCATTTACTGATATATAGTATAATTTAACAGCTAATTCAGTGTAGCTGTCCATACACCATTAAGTTGTAAGCAATGTTTGGCTGCTCTAGGGCAGCGTCGGTTTGAACATCTCTCGTGCAGAAACCTTTTCTATGGTGAGGTGTTTCCCTTAGGATAAGGTCCCTGGAGTGTGCTTACCAGGCCAAGAAATACAGGCTTCATCAGGCTCCTGGTATCTTGGCGCCCATGGACCTCCTGGAAAGTGTGGCCAGTTTGGGCCCCGCAGGCTGTGGTGGCGCCTCGTTCACAGCCGACCCTTGTCTTACACTCAGGTCCCTGGGCCACACTCCATCCGTGACCACGTCAGACCTCTCCACACACTCCACCACCTCACTCATCAGCAACGAGGAGCAGTTCGAAGATTACGGGGAGGCGGATGACGTGGACTGTGCCCCCAGCAGCCCCTGCCCCGACGACGAGACCAGGACCAATGTCTACTCGGACCTGGGGTCGTCGGTGTCCTCCAGGTGGCCCCTTGGTCTGGAGTGGCATTTGGGGTCCAGGAAAAGTGGCAGAACCAGTCCAGCCTCATCCTAGCGGGGGTTCAGCTGGCGGAGTCGTGAGCTAACTGGGCTCTGCTCCTGTACTGGGGGGGGGCGCCTGGGGGGGTGCTGCCTTTGCACCCTAATTGGGGGTCTGGAATTCCTCCTTCCTCCTGTCTTGGGGAAGAAACACAACCAACCTGAAAGGCCGAAGGCTCCAAGTGGCATATTGATTCCTTTCCGCACAGCTGAGTCATTACTCTGACCATAGCTCTCAGTTGCCTTCTCTGTGAAATGCGTACAACTCGTTGGCTTCCTGTCTTTGAGAGCGCTGGAGGAGGGAGATCTCTTGCTTTACTTCCACTCCCCACCCCCCACCCCCAAACACACACACACACACACACACACACACACACACACACAGCATGAGAGAATTTGTCACGTTTCACGCCATGACTGAAATCTAAATACGACTATTTAGATTCTGAAGCTACCAGGCAAGAACGTGTGTGTCTGTTTGTCTTCTCCTGCAGAGCCCATATCCCACTGTGAATTCTCAGCACTCGTTTTCCTCCCCCCCCCCCCCCCCCCCCCCCAAACACACACACACACACACACACACACACACACACACAAGGCTCACAGGTTTTGGAGAATCTAGTAATAAGCTCAGCAGGACGGGGCAGGGCACCAGACTGGACAGCAGTTCAGAAGGTGATTTCTTTCCCTCTCGTGACCCAGCGCGGGGCAGACGCCTAGGAAGATGCGGCACGCGTACAACAGCGAATTGCTGGATGTTTACTGCTCTCAGTGCTGCAAGAAAATCAACCTGCTCAATGATTTGGAAGCCCGACTGAAAAATCTGAAGGCCAACAGGTGAGGCCCCGGGGCCCAGCATAGGGGCGGGTGGGGTGGGGACCAGAGGGAGAAGCAGGGGGGAAGGTGGCCCCGCTCTGTCCTGACAGGTGATCGGGGGTTGCTTCTCAGGGCCAAGCTGATTAGTGAGGGCAGGAAAAAGCCTCGCCCGCACTTTGATCTCTTGCAGCCAGGGCAGAGGAAGGAGTGGGCTAAAGGCCTCTCTGTTCAACCATCCTTTTCTCTCTCTCCCCCTCTCTCCCCCCACCCCACTCTCTGTCTCTAGCCCCAACCGGAAGATCTCTAGCACAGCCTTTGGACGGTAAGGCCTCCCTCAGGGTAGTGCGGGTTGAACGCTGTCCCCTTTCACTGTACTCCTGCTGACAGGGTGGCCGACTCCATGCCAGCAGCCCAGACCCAGCCAGTGCCCTGCACGCGTCTGCACGTGCAGAGGGGGATGAGGCGTCCCAGGCGGTGCAGGCGGAGGAAGCTCCACTTGCGAGAAAGCGGGGCCGGCCTCCTTGCCAAACCCATCCCTCGTCCCTTCTGCCCCTTCTGGCAGCGGGCGGCCTCTCCAAGCCCTCCGTTGCCTCTGCCTCAGGCAGGCACACCAGGGGTGCCCTGAGAGACACAGCTGCCCTCACGGCTGCCGGTGCCTTTCCCTGGGCGCTGGAGCAGGCAGCTCTACCAGCGGAGGCCCTGGGCTTCCCACTGGCAGAGATGGGGCATGAGTGTCCCCACTGGAGCTGGTCCCTCTGCTCCAGGTTAAATCCTGCACAGCTGACCTCCTGGGCCTGCCAGGGTCCCGCACCCGCTCTCCTGCAGATTCGCCCCAGTTCCACACCCGGGGCTCTGGGAGCTGCCAGCAAGTGTCCAGGAGCTGGGGTGGGACAGTCTCTTGGCTGAGACCCTGGCTGCTGGCTGGGAGGGGGAAGCGGCTGGGTTCTGCCTCAGGCAAGAGTTACCTGGACAGCAGTGCCCATTTCCAGTCCCAGCCACCGACCCACCGTCCTACCATCCTGCAAAGCCTGGGAGGGTCTCCCTCCCCCTGCCCACCACCTGGGTCCCCAGAGATGTAGCGGGAGCCGACTGGGTGGTCTCAGGGGGCCCAGGCCCTCTGTCGGGGCTGTGGTACCAGGCTGCCTGCACGGGGCGGTTTTCCAGGTGGAAGGGGCCAGGAGTGGGGGGGCTCCTCCACCAGCTCTGGTCTGTGGCAGCTGCTGGCTGGAACACTGGTGTGCACCAGCGTACTGACGCAGCAGGAAATGGCTCTGATGGATCGGCCATGTCTGCTGGGGCTCAGGAGCCCCGTCTGCCGTCCTCAGAGCAGAATGATCTCTTGAGTTCAGAAGTCAGGCCACTCTGCTCCCCTGACTAGGCGAGGGCACCCTCCCTGGGGTCCCGGGTGCTCCCCCAGCCCATAGCCTGAGTCTGGACCCCAGTCTCCCCAGAGCCCCTGCAGCCAGACATGCCTCCCCCAACCGTGTGCAGGCAGCTCATGCACAGCAGCAACTTCAGCAGCAGCAATGGCAGCACCGAGGACCTGTTCCGGGACAGCATAGACTCTTGTGATAACGACATCACTGAGAAGGTGGGCCTGGGCGGGAGGGCGGGGACGTGACATGGGCATGCCCCCTGGGGGTGGGGGGAGGGGCTCCTGGCGGCTGGCTGCGGCGGGGGGTGGGGGGAGGGGCTCCTGACGGCTGCCTGGGGGCTTGGGAGACCCTGTCCCTGCCCATGAGTCGGGGATAGGTGGCCCCGATCACATGGGCACATCCACCCCCGGCCCCACCCAGCACGACCCTTCACTCACAGTCATGCAGGGCTCCTAGCCGTCAGTCCCATCATTGTTAGGTTCTCAGTCCAGTGGACTTAGAGGTTTCCTCCACCCCACCCCTGCCCCCCTACGTTAGGTGAGTTTTCTGGAAAAAAAGGTGACAGAGCTGGAGAATGACAGTCTGACCAACGGGGACCTGAAGAGCAAGCTGAAGCAGGAGAACACACAGCTGGTGCACAGGTCAGGCCCGGCCTTGGCTGAGACGCGGGCATGGAGGGTGGTCCGTGTTACTGAGCCCCCAGGAGAAGCTGGGCGGAGTGAGGTGGGGTAGGTGACCTGCAGGTCCTTCTAGCTCTGAGGGTCTGTGATACGTCAGCCCCTGGCTGTGGGCCCTGCCCACTCTGGGTGCCCAGGAGGACAGGTCTTTGGGGACAGGGAGACAGGCAGAGCTTGACCTCGGCCCCCCAGGTCTGCAGCCCCAGCTCGGGTGAATGGGAGGAATTGGGATCCATTTCCTGTCTCTCTCTGTCCCACAACGATGAGGGCCTGACCGCCCTTCTGGGGGACAAGCTCTGCAAAGGGAGAGACCGGTGCGAGTTGGGGGTTCACACCTGCCACGGGTGGGGAAGGGTCCAGGCATTGCTGCGCCCTCTGCCCAACAGAGGCCCACTGAACGTGACTCAGTGCGGTGGTGCGTGTATGGTGTAGTCCTCACAGGATGGCATAAAACTTGGTAAACTGATCCCCGTCCAGGGTCTGGTCCTCAACCTCGTAGGGCCCAAAGATGAGTCCTCTTGTACACCCCAGAAGTTCAGTTCCATGGAGGGACTGTTGCCAGTGAAAGGTGCCCCAGACTGATATACCGACTAGGCCACCAGTAGTGGGGTTACGACAGTGGGGCCTGGCCTTACCTGGCTCTGGCAGGCCCACCACCAGCCAGGATGTGCCTGTCTTTGCGGTCAGGGTGCCCAGTGAGCTGAGCTGTTGATCAGAGGGGGACCAGCCGGGAAGGAAGGGAGCAAAAAGAGTAGGTGAGGCCTGAGGGCTATTTGATCCACTGTGGCGAGGCCACCCCTCTCTGTGCCCGCCCTGGGAGAACCCCTTCAACTGCCAGGGCTGCCCCCTCCTGGCTCCGGTGGTGGGTGTGGCTGGCACGCCTCTCCTTAGATGCCCTGGGGTCCCTTGTTCATCTGTCAGCAAAGCTGCCGGCCCACAGTCGGGGTGTCAGGATCTTGGGGTCCGGGGCTCCCAGGGGTCGCAGCCTGGGTTGTGGGGGGGAGAGTCAGGCCACAAGAGCTTGCCCTGCACTGGGGTCCTTGCCCCGCTCCTCAGGGTGCACGAACTGGAGGAGATGGTGAAGGATCAGGAGACTACGGCCGAGCAGGCCCTGGGGGAGGAGGTTCGGCGCCACCGGGAGGCCTACAGCAAGCTGGAACGGGAGCGCAGCACGGAGATCGAGCTGCTGAACACCAGGTGGGCCCGCGGGATGGCCCAGTGCCCTCCGCCCTCTGATGCGCCCTCACGCCCAGCTCTTGCCCTGTGGGCCGGCGCCGTTCCCATTGTATGGATGGGAAAACTGAGCCCCAAAGGGAAGCCTTCTGTAAATCTACTTTTGATACTTGAACACATGGATGTGTTCTCTAGGAAGCAGGTAAAAGAATGTTCATAGTAGGTACAACTGGAAACGACGCTTGTCTATCAATAGAAGAATAGGTTAACACACACACACACACACACACACACCACACACACACACCACAGACCATACATACACACACACCCCTTGTTTTGTCCGAGGCGCACTCAGGGCTTGTGGAACAAGAGGATTCCTAGTTCTTGTGTCAGGGCGAGCCCTTATCAGGGAGCCCACGTCCTGGCCAGTCTGAAAAAGAAGGCCTGGAATTCTTTGGGGCGCTCAGGTGTGACTGGACTCGTAAGGCCTCTTATGGTCAAGCTCTGCACCCCCAGCTGCCTTGGGATAAGACCAATTTCTGATTTTCTTTTTGTTTGTTTCTGCCAAATCACTCAAGCATAGACTCTCTCCTGCTCAATTCTGAGGCTTAGCTTTGTGAGGGCTGATCTTGCTTGGTGGTTTGCTTCAGCAGAGTGGGAGCTTTGTATAAAATCTTCCAGAGTGTACTTGCAGGTCAGTACCTAATTCATGCAGCATTGGTGGTGGGGGGGTGGTCTTGACTCGTAGCTGGTTAAAAAAATGAAAGTAAATGTGTATGTATTGTGGGGATGTGCCCCACGTGGACCAATGCTGAGCCCTGTAGTGCAGCTAAGCTCTGTGCTTGGGACACATTGAGTGGTGTAAGCAATGCTGCTAAAAAAACAGATAGCCAAATTTTGATAGCTTAACTTAATAACTATCTCCAGTACCACTAGAGTGTCAGCTCCACAGGAGGGAGGACTCTTCCTGCTATTTTTCCCAGTTTCTAGCACATATTGGTGTTCAGTCAATACTCCCAGAATGATTGAATCACTAGTGGAGTTCACATGTATTGTTAAGAAAACTTAGTGACTGCCATCCCCTCCCACCTTCCCAAAGAAACTGGACGAAAGACATCTACAGAAAAATCATAGCAGAGGGACAGAATGCCTAGAAAATGTTCAGCCTCACCCAGGATTGAAAAAATGCGCGTGAACATTATAATCATCCGCCACTTGAAAATTAGCATCGATTCAAAACTGATAACATTGCATGCCGGCATGAATGCAGTGAGATACTCTCTTATATTTCAGGTGGGAGGGCAAATGGGTATAACTTTTAGAAAAAGTCACTTGTCAGTGTGTATCAAAAATTGTAAAAGTGTTCATATGAGTTGACCCAGTAAGATTCTGATAATAATTGTATGGCTAAATCTTGGAGTAAGTCCAATTCATGATACTAACTTCCCCATTACAGGAGGGTATTTGCAATGAAGCAGCAGTGTATTTATGGAAGGGAGAATGTTGGCTGTAGAAACAGTGAGGTATTAAGAGAAGCAAAAATGAATAATCTAGAAAATGTTCCTGAACACGTAGCAGAATTGTGGGGTTTTAATTTTTTTGGGTTTTGAATAAAACAACTGAAAAAACCCCAGAAGACCAATTTTCAGTTAAGTATTAGTGTTGCCCAGAGCTAAGATCCAATTACTCCCTACCGTATTTTACAATATTTTACCAACTTGCTTTTGCACGTCTCAGGTTTATGCCATTAGATTGTTTTGCTTTTAAAATACTCTAGTAAGCATTTAGCTAACACTTAAAATTAAATTACATTAATAATTTATATTCAGTATAATATATTACAGGGCTTCAGTTACATTATAATCTTTTGACCAAAGTGCTTTACTGGTGCTTGGCTTCTGGATGAATGTCTGCTGACCTGGCATTTGCATTATTGCGTTTTATTATTTTAACATTCACAACCTGTACAGCAGTTTTGAAAAACAGTAGAGCCTATAGTGTGTGTAACAGTACTCTCTCTCTCTCTCTCTCTCTCTCTCTCTCTCTCTCTCTCTCTCTCTCTCTCTCTCTCTTTCTGGTATGTACCCTCCAGGGAGCGGAGAATTGCTGCAGACTGTCCAATCGTAAGGGAATCTCCATTTTTGACATTCTTGTCCTCCTTTCCCCAGGGTGCAGCAATTAGAGGAAGAAAATACAGAACTTAGGACGACAGTGACTCGGCTGAAGTCGCAAACAGAGAAGCTGGATGAGGTAAAGCAGGTCCAGGCGTCGCTCAGACTTGGATCTTGAGCCAGATCCACAGAGAGGCTGCGTTGCCATCGGAGGCCTTTGGTTTCTAGTTTCTGAAATTCTAATAAAATTGCTGTAGCCAAAAAAAAAGAAAAAAGGCATCAAACATGAATAATCATTCATTTTTCCATATTTCTTCTTTTCCAAGTTTTCTATAGTGAATATCTATTTCCTTGTATTATGGGGGGAAATAATAAAAAAAAAAAAGAAAGAGGTTAGCTTCTGGTTGGGGTCTTACCTTCTTTTTAAAAAAATTTATTTATTTTATTTATTTATTTTTGGCCGCATTGGGTCTTTGTTGCCGTGCACGGGCTTTCTGTAGTTGCAGCGAGCAGGGGCTACTCTTCCTTGTGGTGCGCCAGCTTCTCATTGCGGTGGCTTCTCTTGTTGTGGAGCACAGGCTCTAGAGAGCAGGCTCAGTAGTTGTGGCTCACAGGCTTAGTTGCTCCGCGGCACGTGGGATCTTCCCAGACCAGGGCTCGAACCCGTGTCCCCTGCATTGGTAGGCAGATTCTTAACCACTGCACCACCAGGGAAGTCCAGGGTGTCTTACCTTCTTATTCAGGTCCATGTGGCATCATTGAAGGGCTTCAGAGACCTGAGATTTTTCTAGCTGTGTCTCTAGACTCCTAGGGGATCTGGCCATTTCTTTAATCTGTGCCTCGGAGGGCTCTGTCCAAGGGGCTGATCTGATGGCCCATTTGTCGAGGTGTCTGCCCCGGCCCCCAGCAAACCCCCTGGGGCACAGCGGGCCCCCTGGGAACTCTCCCCCTGCCCCGGTCTCCCCGGCTCCAGGAGCGGCAGCGCATGTCCGACCGGCTGGAGGACACCAGCCTGCGGCTCAAGGATGAGATGGACCTGTACAAGCGCATGATGGACAAGCTGCGGCAGAACCGCCTTGAGTTCCAGAAGGAGCGGGAGGCGACGCAGGAGGTGGGTCCCGGGCCGGCAGGTGCC